AAAAACTCATCGTCTTAATATTCTTATAAGTCTCTGCCTGTGAAATACATGGGAAATTTCCAAAGGTTGTCGCTGAGTGTTTTAGGTTTTCACATTATCTCATTTGCTATTCATGTCTTTGAATTCAAATTTGTTTTTCTCGAAATGATTGCAGGGCCATCCTTTACAATAATTGAATAATCATCGAGCGGACTCACGCTCATGGCTATTTTTGACAGCATAAATGTTGCTTTACTTTCCGCCCTTGCCCATCTGGTTGATAATTTTGCTAAATTTTGAGATAGCTGACCAGTTTTGCAGTTTACCTGCCATAACTGGTACCTTATTCTGGATTTGCTGCTGAACTTTAGCAAATTTATCCTTGTTTTACAGGCACTTCTTCATTCGTCACACATGTTCCATGAAGCCAAGCATTCTTTTGCCAGTCATGGAGTGAAACTCTCTTCTGTTGAAGTTGATCTACCAGCTATGTTGGCCCAGAAAGATAAAGCTGTGTCGAACTTGACCCGAGGTATTGAAGGTCTGTTCAAGAAGAACAAAGTCAACTATGTTAAGGGTTATGGCAAATTTCTCTCCCCTTCGGAGGTTTCTGTTGACACCATTGAAGGTGGTAATACTGTTGTGAAAGGGAAGAATATAATAATCGCCACTGGTTCTGATGTCAAGGGTCTACCCGGTGTAGCCATTGATGAGAAGAGAATTGTGTCATCAACTGGTGCATTGTCCTTGTCAGAAGTCCCCAAGAAACTGGTTGTTATTGGAGCTGGGTATATTGGCCTTGAAATGGGCTCTGTTTGGGGGCGTCTTGGCTCTGAGGTAACTGTTGTTGAATTTGCACCTGATATTGTTCCAACCATGGACGGCGAAATCCGCAAACAATTCCAGCGTGCCCTTGAGAAGCAGAAGATGAAATTTATGCTCAAAACCAAGGTTGTATCAGTTGACACTGCTGGGGAGACAGTGAAGTTGACGCTCGAGTCAGCTGATGGTGGTAAACAGAGCACTCTTGAAGCTGATGTTGTCCTTGTATCCGCAGGAAGAATTCCGTTTACTGCTGGACTTGGATTGGACAAGATAGGTGTTGAAACTGACAAGGCTGGTCGGATCCTAGTCAACGAAAAATTTGCCACAAATATCCCTGGGGTATACGCTATTGGTGATGTTATTCCAGGACCAATGTTGGCGCACAAGGCAGAAGAGGATGGTGTTGCATGTGTGGAATTCATTGCAGGGAAGGAAGGTCACGTGGATTATGATATGGTTCCTGGAGTTGTTTATACACACCCTGAGGTGGCATCTGTTGGAAAAACTGAGGAGCAGGTGAAGGCCCTCGGGGTCCAATATTGTGTTGGAAAGTTCCCTTTCATGGCAAACAGCAGGGCCAAGGCAATTGATGATGCCGAGGGAATTGTCAAGATACTTGCAGAGAAGGAGACTGACAAGATATTGGGTGTCCATATAATGTCACCGAATGCTGGGGAGCTTATTCACGAGGCTGTGCTAGCTTTGCAGTATGGGGCAGCAAGTGAGGATATTGCTCGTACTTGCCATGCACATCCCACAATGAGTGAGGCTCTTAAAGAAGCTGCCATGGCAACATATGACAAGCCCATTCACATATAGATGCCTTATATCTTGTTATTATTGCTTTATTTTCCCTCTGAGAATTATGATGACTTGGAAAGGCTTTCTGATTCCTTCCTGTTACTTTAGTACATCACTTGATTGAAAAATATCTACTTTTCTTGTTGCTCTTCCCTCATCTGGGATCGAAGTACCGAGTGGGAATATTTCCTCTTCGCATGTTGATATGCAAAATAACCTAGAGGTGGACATGGATTTAAACATTTCTGAGTTACTCTGCACTAATTTCACGGCTACCTGGAGTAGATGTTTTGTTACTGTTCATTGTGTTATGTACAGAAGGTAGAAGCCTTTGCTTAATGTTGGTTGTGTCATATAAAGGAGGAACAATCTGCAGCGACATTTTGATAGTCTTAATTTGCAAGAGCCGCCAAGACTTGAGATTGAAACCTCCACCTTGTCACACACCTTAAGACATAATACAGCTGATGATGAGAGCCTTACAGGAATCTTTTGAATCTTGCTTATTGCACTCTACATATGTATACGCAAGGAAGGATTACATGGATCAAGGAGGGATCCGTAGCTTCTGTTCAAGCAGTTTATGTACAGCCGTGTGTATGACCCCTACTATTGCAGGAGGCGTGATTATGAAAACCTAGAGAGCAGAGCAGCAGCTGCCTTTGATGGTCCTATAACTTTGTGACGAGAATTTCAAGAATAATCAACTTAAGAGGACCACAACAACCTCTACATTATAGTCTGACGGTCCAAAATTTTTGTGATGTTATTTTGATGACTATATATTGTTTGATCAAAGGAGGTCAAGTGTGAGGACAAATGATTTCATGCTTTAATATTACCGTCATATCAGTCTCATTTTTAAAATCCAAATGTCCTTGTACCATTTGCCTTGTAATTTCAACTTATCTTTGCAGAAGTTGCACATAAATTGTTTTGCTTGCAGCTGTTCTCCTTGCATGCCCGACTCAAGTGCCCTTTCATGCAGTGGTTTGTCGTCGATCCCAAAATCTAGCAGCATTTTGCTTAAGCTTTTTAGGATCTGATCCGCGTAGTAGAGCAGACAAACTCACACAGCTGTACTTCATAACTGTGGATTCGGCATTATTAATTACCACAGAAACCAAATTGAAGATTGCTATCACTCATTTATCCAAGAGTTGAGGGCTCAATTTTTGGACTGCTTTGAATACTATTCTGATGCACTGGGTGCTCAAAGACAAGCCACGAGATTTTTTTGCATTCTGAGCAGTATCTTCCAGTTAGTATTTTTGATGGACAGCAGTCTCTGCGTATGCTGTTGACTGCAAGAAAACTTTCGAACTGCCATCAGATGTAAGAGCCCGCTTCGAATGAAAATTTCAGCTTGAAGAAATTCGGGAATATGGTTGGGATTACATTTTCCTTTATAGTGACGAACCAGAGCTACATTAATGTAACAGCACGAGTTGCTTCATCCTAAGATGAACGATATATTGTAGCAAGTTCTAGCATGCGATTACAATAGTGTCAGATAAGCTTATGTTACTGGTAGAGCAACAAAAAACAGTAGGCAGTATGCGTCCTCAGGATCCTACTCAATCTGCATACTCCTTTTATTGGCCACCACGAATATACAGAAACAGAATCAGTATCCACCGAAGGACCCAATCAAATATGGGGAATTCATACATCTCTTAGGATCCGAAAAACATGTGATTTTATTTAAAAACATATATTAGTTCGCAAGTCCAGCCAAAAGAAGTATAATTCAAATGTTTATCCTTTCTTTTTTTGGGTCAAGGAAACTGTATACCAAAGCAGAAACAGGTGCTTATCTTAAACAGTACCAAGAAAAGGTGAGCTGCTTGAGCATCATTCAACAGCAAGTAGCTTCTGATACAAGTGAATGCATAGTAAAGTTTGTAGGGTGTTGAATGAAGAAGATTTCTGCCCAAATATTTAAAGATGGACTACTGTAGGTTTGTAATCAATGACAAGGACTTTGTCTAGTTGAGGGAGCAACAGATTAGCATATTCAACATGAGCTGGATGACCAATATACTCAGCAATCCCTTCGGTACTCTCAAAGATGGACTCAAAGATGTGAGTAAAGCCTTGGTGCAAATTCTCAATGCTCACATCCTTACCCCTGCAACAAAGGGAGCCATAGCAAGATATCTTAGATTCTGTACAACTGTGCATGAGATGAAACTCACTCGTCATACCAAAATGACCCTTTTCTGACATTCAAATTGAAATATACTAAAATGGCAGCTACTCCTAGAAACAGAAATGGCATTAAGAACAAATGAAATTTTGATGTTGAGTTGTTCCCCTTCCCCCCCCCCCCCCCCCCCAACCCCCCACCACAAAAAATAAAAAAGAATAATGGCCAATAGCAGAAGCAGAAGCAATCCCCATAGCCAGAACCCTGAAGCTCAAAAATAAGTCAAGATCGTAACTTTAAGACAACAGATGTAACAACACAAGCTGGAAAGGGTCTAAATAAGCATTCCAAGATTCGAGCAAATTCACATAAACTTACGATCCACCACAAAACGAAGATTTGACTTTATATATACACATGTAACAAAACGCTATGATGATTGAAAGATGGAAAACTTGAAACAATCAGCAAGATTTGATTCTGGGGAAGAAAAACCGAGTGAAATCTGAAAACAAGAAAAGATTGAGGGCCTATGGATTAATTGGGAGAAAGTAGTCAGTCAGTACCATGAAAAAGACTTCATAGGTGGGATGAGATTGACGAGATTGGCGTAGCCCTTGATGAGTTGGTCAATCTCATCTTCTGAGAGCCCATCTTTGAACTTGGCTAGGAGTACGTGCCTCACTTCACCTTTGGCCTCCTCCATCTCCGCTGCTCAACTCTGTCTGCGTCTACAGCTGCTCTGTAATCGTTACTGCAAGGAAGGATGGAAGTCTTTTAATGAGCTGAACTTCTAAAACACTCCAGACTCCAGAGGTGGGCTTCGGGGGTTAGGTGGAAGCCCTTTCAAGTTTGGTGACCAACCAATATACGTATTCACGAGTGTGGGCTGCCTCAACTCCAACCAGCAGCTGGGGTTTGCTTTTCCGTAAAATCGTTCTAGAAAAACATCGTACTTATGGCAATTAACAAGAAAAACATCTGGGGCATACTCCATCCACTCTAAGTAAAGCAAAGTCGACTGTTTTGATTGAGCCATAAGTTGATATGCACACCTCCATTAATTAATATGTACTCAAGGGGTTGAAAATTGGAATGGGCGTTTATTTTTTTTTAGATTTTTTGCCTTTCTTTTTTGCCCTTTTGTTATAAAGCAGAAGACGATTTTGTTGAGAAAAAAGAAGAGGACATCGGCCTCTTGACTAGAGTAGAGTGATTAAAAACTACTCCTACATTAGTAGTACAGTAGCAGAAGTTCAGCTGGAATACCATACAAAGTAATACAGTACATCAGTTGAAATTATTTCAGATTCTCTCCCTAACTATTGGGCTATTACAGTACATATATTATATAGTCCACGTGCAATTGTACAATCATACCACGGGCAGACTAATTATTACAATCCAAGATTTATTTATTGTATATCTTCAGAGGATTACTCTTGCTACTTCTTGGTGGTAATCATCGCTAAGGCCACATTATTGGATGGATGGGAGTGGGACTAGATCAAATCTGGAAGGAAGACTTGTGCCCTAATAATAAATAAGTTGGTTTTAAGGCTGACAAAATTCATTAGGCAGCCGAGGGAGCAGTCGCATAGTGAACGAGGCCAGCAGCATCGGAAAGCGCTGCAACTGTTTTTTCTTTCTGATCATCATTTCCACCACCTTCCTTGTTAATCTTGGAGGGTGCATCAGCAATGTTGACGTAGTCCAGGGATTCATCTTCGTATATATCCCACCATTTCTCCACCAGCATCTTTATGTCTTCTCTCTGCATGTTTTCTTCTTTCCCTGTGTACCTCCAGGGCTTTGATCCCTGTGCGTACCCAAAATTCATCATTTCAATAATATTAACCCAGGCTAAGTATTGATACTACATCATTTCAAGTTTCTTTTTTACACACCTTTTCTCAAAACTGATCACTTTTTCATACCATGCAGTTCAGGTTAGCAAAACAGAAAGATAGTAGTAGTTTACTACTGGACTACTAGCAAATAGCAATCAAGTTGTAGTCTCCACTTACCGCAGCACAGTAGTGAACAACCTTGACGCTGTCAAGGTCAATGTTCTCGGGATGTCGCCACAGCATTGCCAAAACCAGGTTGTAGACCGGAGGAATCGGGCGATAAATGTCCCTGAAGAACATGTTCAGAAAGTCCTGCATGTGTACATGAAAATATGGATGGCATCAGCAAACCAACAATGAATCGATTTGCTTCTTTGTATAACGACTTGTGGTGTGGGACGCCAATTGCATTACTAGTTATAAGGCTATAGCTCATTTGGACATCATTCACTTTGAGAGCCAGCTAGCCTCTACATTCCATTATTCATTCATCTCATGTTGGACTGGTACTCGATCGCATCTATCTAGTTTGGTAATCTAAGCTAAATCTTGAGAATCAGTGCCCGCACAGTACTAGCACACATACCTGTTCTGCGAATGTAGTTGGAGAAGTGATCTTGACGGTTTCCAAAAGACGGTGATAAGTGGACAAATTTGGTTCATAAACGAACATGCCGGCATTGAAATACAAGGGTGGTGGTGCTCCCAACTCTTCTGGCCACTGCACCCTTTGTGGGGATTGTTGGCAATAACCGATCTGGTACTGAATTGTATTGCTCCAAGTTTTTTCGCAAAAGCAGTCCATAACAGCATAAAACTGCCCGTCCGGATACTCAAACAAGTGATCAATGTTGTCAAAAACTTGAATGTCCCCATCCAAGTATATCATCTTGCTATACTCTACAAACTGCAACATCGTTAATCATGAATTAGTGTGTAAGATTTACTTGCTTGCTCATTATAATTAGGACTACCAGCTATTTTTATTAGGCCGATTTTATTTAAAGACAGTACTTCAGCAGTTGTTGGCTAGAATCAGCATTGATCAAGTTAAAGTGCAGTGCTCTCGAAGCCTTGTGCATGGCAAGACTTGATAATCAATTAACGTGCACGACAATTGAAGGCTGAAACACACGAATTTTGGCCTAAGGAGACTCGTCCACCAGTGCCTATAAGATAGAAGTACTTCTGGAGTAGGACCTTTTCTTCTTTTTTTTTTCCCTTTTTGGAAAGAAGGTGGGGAAAATGAGCAAGGACAAAGGTAAAGTGAGAGAATTATCAAGCAGTGAGCGAAAATAAAACAACAATGAAGAAAGAGCTTAAATAGGAGCCTTTTCGACTCGTCAATTCATGGTTGGAACTGTAGGTAGCTGAATAAACCTAATTACGAAAAAAAGGGAACTAATTATACTACTAAAAATCTAATGAGATGTTGATTTACCAAACTAAGACTCTTTTGGTTTGACAATTTGGCTAGTCAAACGACAAAGGAAAACCATCGCCACCTCGAAAACAAAGGCAAGGCAACTACATCGATCCATTGTATGTACAAACACAGTAAACTTGGACCAGAATAGACAAGTAGTGTATGTCTTCCTGTACATTTGTTTATGTGGCAAGACTCAACAGTCGTTTCATAGATGCTGCTCAGAATCAGAATTGGATGATCAGAAATAACACTTCTTTGTGCCAATTAATTAAAAGGAGCAACAGAAATGCTAAAAACAGTGTACAAACAAGATCGAAGTACTACATGCAAGTGAGAAGAGATGCATGCTTCACAGAATTAATTGAAGAGCAGGCACTAACCTCCCAAATCCGAAGTTTCGAGTAGTTGATGACATAATATGCCATGGCAAATTGAGTTTGATTTTCAGGGGGATATACTGGCTCAATCTCCCGAACTACACAGCCTTGAGACTCTAGAATTTGGCGATGTTCCTCTGGGACATCAGGCAACGCAGCTACCACCAGAGGGTAAGCGGTGTTGCTCTTTCTTAAACCCTTGGCTAATCCCACAACTCCTTTCCAATAATCTCCACTTCCTGCCAAGAATGTCACAAACGCCCTCTTAGTTGGCTGCACTTCCTTTTCCATCAATACTGATGAAACCTTTTCAAAGTTCATTTCCATCGATCCCTGCAATAATATACAGCAAACTGGACTAAATTAAACGGCTAATGAGAAGGAGAAACAAATTTTATTTTCTCTGTTTTTTTTTTTAGAAAAGAAAATTGAGCTTTGTAGAAGGTAAAAGGAAAATTTTGGGAAATCGCAAAAGAAGAGAAGATGGATGGAATTAATTTGTTATGCACAGAAGTTGGTGGAGGGCTTCTGTATTTATAATGAAACATGCGTGCTCCGTGCGGGCAATATATTACAGGGATTGCATTTTCATGCAAAAAAGTAAAGAATCTGGGCACTGGGAACTGGAAGTATGATTGAAAAACCTTTTTCCGAAAAGATTTTGATCATGTTTAACACGTGTTCTACGGAAGGATGATGATTCCGTTGTTGTTGTCGGTTAATTCATCTCAGAGTGCTGTTACATTTGGATATGGACGAGGAAGGTAGCAATTACATAAACTATCATTTCCTATCTTTCTCTCCTCCTTTAGTTAACTAAACTAAATTAACTAAAGCTACCGAATAGAATACTGCTACTTGCCCTTTTTGGATTCCAGTTTTTGCTGATACGGGCTGTTCTTGGATTCCAGTTTTTGCATGATAAGCAAGCAAACTAAGTCATAACCCTTCATGTTTTATATCTCGTACGTGTACGCATCATATATTCCACCTAATCTAGTTCCTTCCAAACTGCTTAATCAATAGTTTGATTGGTGTCTGATTTCGTTGCTAGATTCTCACTTTTCTTTTGGAACGACATTACCTTTTCCAAACACATGGCATGGCATGGTTGTAGGAGAAATACCGGATTGATAGATTCTCAATCTACCTTTTTGTCAAGGCTTGGGATATTCTTCTTGCTTTTGCCTTTTGGATCCAAACCCTTTTTTGCTTTTTGGGGTTGTTGTAGTCAGTAGATTAATTAGGTGGAAGGCGTCCTCTAATTGCTGCACGTTACCAAACTTGTCACAGAGTGTATTATTGAATTTATATGTTACCATTGACACCACTCAATTTCTCATTGTTGCATGCATAACTTATAATCTATAGGGATATTTTCAGAAACTTCCCTCGAGGTTTCTGACAATTTCACCTAGTACCTTTAAGATTTTCAACACGCTCCTAATCTTGTGTATAGGAATACATCACACAATTAAACATTTAATGGAAACAAAAACAAGATTCACTCGTGAAATAACTAATTATGTCCTAAACACAAATTTAACATATTACAAATGAATTGTAACTTTGTTTCGAGGACCCAGAGATGAATAGAATAAGATGTAAGTTGAAGGCTTAAAAAAGGACGGGGCTTGGTGTTGGTACTTGATCAATATTTTGAGAGATAGGATGCTATATTAATGCAGTTAGTGAAATTTTTTGAGTTTAATAGTGCTGATTTTTTTTTCTTTTGTAACTTAGATTGAAGTTTTAGAATTTAGGAGGTGATGATGGTGGTGGTCATGGTGATATGTGGGAATATGAAAAGTTTAAAATAATAGAGATGAGGGTTGAGAGAGTGGGTTTGAGATTTTGTGTATTGTTCCATATTTCCTTTAAAGAATTTTATAAGAAGGTTTTTTATGAGGGTCCTTTTGGGTTATTCTTTCAAAATTTTGATCATTGATATTTTTGAAATATCAAGGGAATTAGATGAAGTTATATATTAAAAACCTCAAGGAGGTTTATGAAATTATCACTAATCTATACGACTGTATACATGCAGGCATGCCACCAAAGTTCTCCTACCCATGCAAATGAGTTTGGTCGTCCTAATCATAAAGGTTCTTCTTTTGTCAAATTTAGTGCAGCACTTTTTAAGTCTCCAGTGCTGCCGCATATGCATGTCTGGCTTTTTTTAAGTTCATGATCATTGCTTCACTCTTTACTTAGTCTGGATATTAAAAATGTGAATTCATAGCTCGCGGAATATCAAAAAGTAATTGGGAACGCAAAACTGATTAAAAAAAAAAAAACCCAGTTTGTGAAATTCTGGAGCAAATTTGAGTTTGAAAATTTATTTGGAGATCAGAAAGAAAAGAAAAGACGCCCTTTAATCAGAGCAGAATATCATGTTCCACTTCCACACGGGTATGATCTGTCAAGAGAGGGTGAGGGTGGTGATGAATTTGGTTTGAGAATTGAGATGGATGGATGGATGGATGGATGGTTGGTTGTGGTGGTGTGCATGATGATGAACATGAAAAGGAGCGTGCCACGCCGACGCTGGGGAATCAAAATGCATTTCTTTTAATCATCAAAGAAAGTCAGTCGGATTCCACTTTCATTTTCTCCGGAATTAACAAACGTGTACAGGCCAGCTTGGTGACCAAAGGTAAAGCAAAGCATTCCAAATTTCCAGAATCTGCAGGCAAACGAAAACTTCACAATACAAAGATTGTGTGCTGTGCTGTGCTGTGTAAAAAAAAAAAATCACAAGAAAATTTATGATGATGATATACAGAAAGAAAGTTGAAAGCTAGTACCGTCTCAGTGTATTAACCAACCCTCAGTATGCCCTCCTCATTCAAGATTTATGGGCGGCCCCTGATATGGAAGGAAGAAATCTCCATTTCGAGCTCGCTCAATTAACTCTTTCTCGTAAATTAGCTTTGGTCTGTTGTCTCAGCTCAGCTCAGTCAGCTTAAACACAAATTTGCCCCGACACCAACCCCTTTCTTCACAGAAACACACAGCGCCGAAAGTCACTGAACCTGAACGCCCCCAGGCCCCTGTTTCCTTCCTATCGAATAGTATTCTTGATCTCCCTCAGTTTCTTTCTGCAAATTACTACATTAAAAAAGAATTTCTAAGCCCTCCATTGGAAAGTTTCAACATTTGTCTTCGCTAAGAAGCCCACCAAAATTGATCACAGCATGTGTGGTGGCCATTTCTTTCTTCAATGGCCCAATACCATTTCAGAACTAGATGGGCCTAATGCTTCTATCTCTCGAGCCCACACTTCATACAAACAAACTAAAAAGATGAATGGTTGGAGTAAATAATTAATTATTATTTGACTTCCCCTATCCATATTTGACCTCCACCTCCACCTCCAATCAAACTCCCTATAGAAAAGCCAGTCTTGAACAACAAAAACATACTCACCACTCCGCTTGCGAGTGTGTGTATTTTGATTTTGTGCCTGTTAAACCCCCCAAAGAGAAAGAAAAAAAAAAAGAAGAGTAAAGATGGCATCTTTGGCTCAACATTTTGGTGGGCTGAAACGCCCGCCGCTCTCCACGAGCCTCAACACTAATTCAAACAACCGCTGCTCTACCCATTGTCTCGTCTCACCCAAACAGAACCACCACCAGCAGCAGCCCAGAAGAGGACGAGTACTAGTTGTAGCAGCAGCTGCCGGACCAGTGGCTGTCTCCAACGCACAGACCAGAGAGCGGATGAAGCTCAAAGAAATTTTTGAAGACGCCTACGACAGGTGCCGCACTGCCCCTATGGAAGGTGTCGCCTTTACGCTCGAAAACTTCCACGCTGCCCTTGATAAGTTCGACTTCGATTCTGAAATTGGTAGCAGGGTAAAGCCTCTTATCCTCCTTTTTTTTTCCCCTTTCTATATTCTCCTTGTTGTATTTTCTGTATGTTTTAGTTGAATGGGGTTGAGCTTGTGTAATTCTGATTCTTGTGTGATTTGACTCGTTAAAGATTGGATACTTGTGTTGTTGTTAATTTGGGAATTTGCGGGGTCAGTTGCTCATCGACTCTGGGGAGAAGAGGTTTTTTTCCCTGCATTTTGGTTTTGTAAAGTTGGCGTACAAATGCATTTATATCGTAGCTCGGCATGCGTAGTAAGAGTCTTGTTTCCGGTTGTAGATGGAAAATGCTATGTTTGGTTTGGATTGATGAGGTCAGCTAGAGTAATCTTATTAGAAATAGCCTTGTTGGTTGTGTTTTCCTGTCGGTGAATGCAGAACGTGCGTTGATTTGTGGTATTAGAGACTGGATATCCATTGAACAATGGGAAGGAGGTAAACTTGGCCATGAGAAGTGGGGAAAAAATCATTATAAAATGGATATTGGTTGGTAACTGAGTCCAAAAGGGGTACTTATATTGTGGATCGATTTTTCAAAGTTGGAGATGTCTTTTTTTTTTTTTTTTAGCTCAGGGTCAGGCTATCAGATACACTAATACGGTTATTAGAGATATCTAGAGTTGCGATCAGATGCATTCCCTTTTAATTTGTAAAATTACGGTTCTTGGATGATGGATGGGAGAGAGATAAAACTGTGTTTTTTTCTCGGCTGATGCTTTAGTCGTTGCAGTTGCTAAACTTCAACCAAATGCTTCTTTCCAGGTCAAAGGAACAGTTTTTGCTGTAGATGCAAATGGAGCCCTTGTTGACATTACTGCAAAATCATCAGCCTACTTGCCTGTGAACCAGGCATCAATTTACAGGATAAAGAGTGTAGAAGAAGCTGGCATAGTGCCCGGTCTTTGTGAGGAATTTGAAGTCATTGGTGAGGTTGAAGCTGATGACAGTTTGATACTGAGCCTGCGTGCTATCCAGTACGAGCTAGCATGGGAAAGATGTAGACAGCTTCAAGCTGAAGATGTTGTTGTCAAGGGTAAGGTAGGTTTTCTGCACCAAAAGCTGCTATACTTAGGTTTATAACTTGTGTGTTATTTGTTGGGATTCCTCTATCCTTTGCCGTTTTTCTGTTTCGAAACTGCATTTAGTATTCCCTATCGTGATAGCTCGTAGTCGTCAATAAAATCAGCTAATAGAAGCATTTGCTTTTCTCAGTAGTAATACAACTTGTAACTTTCGTTCTGTCGTATACATTGGCAGGTAACTGGTGCGAATAAAGGTGGAGTAGTGGCATTGGTTGAAGGCCTTGTTGGGTTTGTTCCCTTCTCGCAAATATCAACGGTTAGTTTCTCGCTTAGGCATGCCTTATTTTACTAACTTCATTTTGAAATGAAAGAAAAAGATCTAGGAGAATGCTATACAGAATATTGTATATGCATCTATTGCGAGTCAGGTGGCTCCTGAAGATTAGAGAATGTCCGCTTCCTCTTAGATTTCCAACCTTGCCACTAAAGTTGTCTTGTAACTATAAATTACTGGAGATATAATGCATTAGATAATATAAAACAGTTTTTAAGATTTTCCTCATCTGCTCACCATGTTTCCTCAACTTGGCAGTATAAAAAGATAAGATGAGAAAGAAATAGAGGTAGGATGTATCTGCTGAAACAATTTAAGCAGATATTGACATAAGATTTACGTGATTAATCTATCAGAAATCAACTGCAGAGGAGCTTCTTGAGAAGGAGTTTCCACTTAAGTTTGTAGAGGTTGATGAAGAACAGTCGAGGCTCAT